CAATGAGAAGGATAGTTGCTTAATATTTTGAAAGTGAATAATTGTAATATATGTTTAATAATAATTCATATTATTCATTTTAAAATATTTTCAATGCATTATATTTTTAAAATTATTTAAACAAAATTCTATGACATAATTTTATCTAATTATACTATTCAATCGCTATAATGCTACCAATCAAACTTATATTTGAATTGTTCTCTGTATCCAACCGTTTTCTCTAACTACTGTTTCTAACCGTCTTATTTTAAACAACCTGTACAACCGTTCAAAATTTTTTAACCGCTCTGTTCAAATGTGATCACCAATCAGACCATTAAACCACCCAAAACATATTTTTAACTAATATGAAGAAATTTTGCCTTCCCGAAATTTAAACCTTACGGTAGGGAGACAATTTTTTACCACAGCAAAAAAACCTTTAGTGGGATGGAAATCCAAAACTGAAGCAAGAAAGACCACAACTAAAACCGAATACACATAAACACACTTCACCAAAAAAATAACATAAACTTGGTTTACTTTACTTTAATTTTAAAAATACCGTTAAGATATGAATCTCGGTTTGGTAAGACAAGAGTCTCGGTTTACAAACAAACCAGAATAAACCTAACCGCCTCGCTAAACCCAACCTCCTCTTTGATTGGGAACAAAAACAAAGCTTAAACCCTTCTTCTTCCTCCGCCGCGTTCTTTCTTTCTTCCTAAAGAGCAAGCTTAGCTTTTTTCGACTCTTTTCTCAAAACCCAATCTTGATTTCGCATCCCTCTGTGTAAGTTTAATTTTGTTTCACTTCCGAGATTTGTATCGATTCTCAAATTGCTAGAATTAAGTATAACAGATTGATAAACCTAATTGCTACTGTTGTTCGTAGAAGCTTTACTTTGTTTAGCAGAGTTTTTGGAATTGAAAGTTTACCCTTTTGGTGATTGATGATGTTTAGGGGAAAGGCGTGACCTTGCTAGTTTGATCGTTGGCGAGGTAGAAACCATTGCAGTTTGCACACTCTTTGAATCATGGCGACTTCGGCTGATGCTCGGGCTGTTAAGTCGCTCAACAACGGCGAAGGGCGTAGGAAGTTTGTGGTGCGTGTTCTCGTTCTTCTTCTTGTATATATATACTTTCAAAGAAATTCTCTCAAAAGTTCATTTGGTGTATCCTTTTTCACAACCCTGAACTTTTTAGCTCGAAGAACCGTGTGATGGATGAGTTGATAACTTGGTTTTCAGTCTATGGAACTGAAACACCAGTTAGCTTAGTGATTTCTTTGAGGGGTAACGAGAGAGGGCTTGTTAAATGTCTGACATATTCTGAAATAGATAGTTTCTTTTAAGCTTTAGTTCTGGGGTTATATTTGGTGTTGATTTTCATGAACATGTCTTTTCTTTTCGCTTCTAAACCTTTCCTCTGCAACTATCTTTTTGATATTTTATTCCGATTACCTGTCATAGTGTGCACTGTTTCACCGCATTAGTAAGCTCAATTATCTGTTTCCGTTGTGCTCTCTAATATGCCCTTTTGTGTTTAATTACTTCTGGATGCAGTTCAAGACTTTCTCTCAGAAAATCAATGACACTGACATCAACGTGTATAAGAGCTTGGATAAGGTGAAGGCTAATCCTTCAGAGGGATCCACACTTTTCAGAGATTGCCTCGTAGAATGGAGGGTACGTTTGCTTTTGTTGCCTTAAAGCTCTTTCTAAAGTTTAAGTATTGGTCTTCTTGTCTTGCATGGTTGTATACCATACTTACTATGCTGGTTTCAGGCTAAGATTCTTAAGTGCAATTATATTCTTTAGTAAGGCGTGCTTAGTTTAACTTTGCTTTATTACCCGGCTAGGATGCTTGAAACATGAAATTAATGGCAATTTTAGTGATCATGTCATTCATGTGTACTTGAAATTCAAACCTCACTTTTATTGTTAACAAGATATCATAAAGAGATTGGCAACTCTCTACTTTGCCTCTGCTATAACTGGTACTCTATTTTCTTGTTCGTTTGTTCTATAGGCCATCTAGGGTGACCAGAGAACATTATCTCTGAGTATATAGTAGCTGCTATGTATATGATGAACTAGCGGGGTTGTTGCTGATTTTGCCTTGTATATAAATAAGTCTTCTTGGTGCTCGATCACACTTACACAGACATTTCAGTGAGATAGTAAATTTGTTTATTTGGCTGGTTGAATGCAGGAACTGAATACAGCAGAAGATTTCATTTTATTTTATGAAGAAATGTTGCCATTTGTTCAGAATCTGCCTTTGGTTATTTTGCAAAAAGAATTAATCTTCTCAAAACTTGTCTCTCGTTTACAAATGAAAGCAAGATTGTCTCTGGAACCCATTCTCAGGTTTGCTAATTTCTGCTCATTCTTTTAGCCTGGAACCGTTTGCCAGTGGATCAGTGTTAATGTGCTATGGTCTAATTTTGTTTCTTCACTTACCGAGAGCATTCATTCTTGTACTCTTCTTCTGCATAGAAGTTAAAGATTTTTTTTTTTTTGCAGGTTACTTGCTGCTTTATCAAGAGATCTCCTGGAGGACTTTCTTCCGTGAGTGTTCTTAAACTCTTGATTCTTCGCAGCTGCAAGATATTCATATATAGTTTCTAAAAATTATTTTTTGTTGTCACTGTCATGCTGTTGTTAGAGTATTCCAAACATTGTGCGTAGTATACTCTGAAATCATAGCAATCACTTATAAGGCTTACTGGAAGTATATCCTTAATGTCGTGGAAAAATCTACTTTCTTAAATCCGTTTCCTTGTGATCTGAGAACTAATTTAGTTTTTGCTATACCGAATAGCTTACGACATGTTAACAGTAATTTTACCCTCCTCGCATACATTTGCCAGAAAGAGTTGCTAACTTGAATATCAGTTACTGTCGGCTCACGTGTATACATGACAGTGCTAGGTTGTTTGGTTACTAGCAAGTAGTTTTTCCTAGTTACTGATATTTTGTAGATTGTTTGACTTTCTTTTAAGGATCAAGTGCTCGAACTTCACTTGCGGTTTCTTTGATGAAATCATGTCTATGTTCTAACCAATTTCTTCTGTTTTTTCCTGGGCTAGCTTCCTACCACGAATTGTGAACTCCTTCGTGACTCTCCTAAAAGATGGTGCCCACAAAGAGCCAGAGATTATTGAGCAGGTTGTTAGTGTTCTACTACATAATGTACCCTAAGGAAAATACTTAATTTATGTTATTTTTGCTGAATTTGGTCCTTTTTTTTCCTGTGCAGATATTCTCATCATGGTCGTATATACTGGTGTACCTGCAGAAGTATCTCATACACGACATTGAAGGTGTTCTCAGGTAAGTAAAGTAAAAAAATTCAATCTAATCTAGAATGTCTGTTTACTGTGATGGATCTGATTGTTGCACACGGTCTTTTGTTTACTTACTGGATCAAGAGATGCTGCCCAAAAAAAATAATTAATTTATTGGTATCATTTGTGAAAAACAAAAGATGGCCATCACATGCTGTACATGTTGTTAAATCTAGTTATTTAGGATTGAA